TTTTGTAAAAGGTTGTCTGTCTGTTAATGTTTTCCTCCTTTTATTTTTAAAATTTAAAAAAAAATGTTTTTCTCAAGAATTATGACCATTAAATGCAATGTGTGACCCTAGGCTGAATCTTTTTCTGTAAATGACATTACTGAAACAATGAACAAAACTGGAATGGGCTCTGAAGATTATATGATTCTAATACAGCATGTTAATTTTCTGATTTTGGATGGTTGGATTGTGTATGCAGGAAAATGTTCTCGTGTATGGGGAATAAAAACACGTTCATCATATCGACAACTTACTCTTAAATGCATTAAGAAAATCAAGTTTTTTAAACTGTACTTATAACTTTTTGAGACTGTTTCAATGTTTTAATTTAGCAAAAGATTGGAAGCAAAAGAGAATACTGTGAATGTCTTCCTCAAGAGAGTGAGGAACAAGGTATCAAGAAAATTCTCTGGGGAAAGAAATGATTTTTACAGATGATGAACAACTGCGTATCCCCAAGCAAAATATAATGAAGCTGGAAGGTAGTCATGACCAGCTTCCACACCTACGATCCCGGTACTCCAGGAGGCTAAGGAAGGATTGAAAGTCCACACCTGGGCAATTTAGTTAGTGACTGAGGAAGACCCTGTCTCAAAATAAAAAATAAGAAAGAGCTAGGGATGTCACTCAGTGCAAAAACCCTGGGTTCAATCCCCAGTACCTCAAATAACAATAATAATAATAATAATTAAGAATAATAATAATGAAGTTGGAGCCAGGCATGGTGGTAATCCCAGCTGCTTGGGCAACCGAGGAAGGATGATCACAAACTCAAGTTCACACTGGGCAACTCAGTAGAACTTTTAAAACTTTTAGAAGAAAACATAAGACTTAAATCTTTGTGACCTCAGATTAGGTAATGACTCCTTAAATATGACACCAAAAGTGCCAACAACAAAAGAAAGACAACCCAAGAATGAGAGAAATTTTTTGAAAATAGATCTGAGATATTTATGTATATTTTAATGAATTTTTATAAATATATCTGGAAATACATCTTTTGAAATGTAGATATGAAACTTTCTTTTTTCCTTTTTTTTTCAGATAGTGTCTGGCTAAACTCAGCCTGGCCTTGAACTAACTTTGTATCCCAGGGAAGTCACAGTGATCCTGCCTCAGCCTCTTAAATGCTGGGCTTACAGGTATACGCCACCACACCCAACTCAGATATCTACCTAAAGAACTACTGCAACTCAATAAGAAGACAAACAACTGAATTAAAAGTGGCCAGAGAATCTGAATCGGAAATTCCCCAAAAGAAGGCCAGCAAGCACATGAAAAGTTTGGTCATGGTGGCACATGTCTGTAATCTCAGCACTTGGGAGGCTGAGGCAGGAGGATTACCATGAATTGAAGGCCAACCTGAGCTACACAGTGAGCTTAAGACCCACCTGAACTACCTAGCAAGATCTTGTCTCAAAAACAAAAAAACATGCAAAAATATGCTCCACATCATAAGCCATCAGATTATGTGCAGCCGGGGAGATAGCTCAGCAGCACAGTGCCTGCCTGGCAAGCACAAGGTCATGAGTTCGGTTCCCAGTGCCAAAAAAAAAAAAAGATTATGTGCAAATCAAACCACAATGTAATAACGGTTCACCACCACCAGGATGATTATAATAAAAAAGACAGATAAACTAGGCACGGTGGTACAGGCATGTAATCCCAGCACACAGGGGCTGAGGCAGGAAGATCACCTTGAGTTCAAGGCCAGCCTGGACTACATAGTGAAACCCTGTCTCAAAAAGCCAAAAACAATATATTATTCATCAATAAAAAAAAGTTAAGTACTGATATATGATGAAACATGACATACGATGAGCCCGAAAACATTATGAGACCGCAGAGTAGGGCATGGCAAAACTGGCTGGGGAGGCAGGTGCAATCTGGTAACTACAAAGTCCGGAACACGTGTCAAGAACAGTTCCTCCAGCCCTGCGCTCGGACTTCTCGCAGCAGGTCTTCAACAGGACACTGGACCTGACCTCAGCATGAGGCGGGGATCTC